TGTCCCCCCCCACCCCACCCCATGCAGGGTCACCTTCCACTAGCCCAGGTTGCCCAAAGCCCCGTCCAACCTGGCCTTGAACCCTTCCAGGGAGGGGGCAGCCACAGCTTCTCTGGGCAGCCTGTGCCAGGGCCTCACCCCCCTCACAGGGGAGAATTTCTGCCCTAGATCTAATCTAAATCTACCCTTTTTCAGTTTAAAACCATTACCCCTTGTCCTATCACTACATGCCCTTATAAAAAGTCCCTTTCCAGCTTTCCTGTAGCCCCTTTAGGTAGTGGAAGGTGCTCTAAGGGCTCCCCGGAGTCTTTTCCAGCCATGACCATAAAGAGGAGGAACTGGTAGCACACAGGAGTGACTCTCAAGCTGTGTCACAGGGTTGGATAGGGGGGACTGAGAAAAGGCATGGAGGGCAGGAATGTTTTGCCCCAGGGTTGTGAACCCCTTCACAGACCTGTAAGAGGAAAAAAGAAGCAATGAGAAATGAAATGGCGATTTTGTCCAGCCTGACCCTGTCCTTGCTAGGGTCTGTGAAAGGCTGTCCTGGGGAAGTGGACTTCCCACCTTCAGCTTATTCAAAGCATTGGGAATTGCAGTGTGAGAACACCACTGGCACCTGCAGGGGAGTGAGCAGGGTGTACCCCTTGCTGGTTATGTGCACGGCCTGAGGTTTCCCCTTTAGTCTTGTGGCTGCTGACCCCTCCTTGATGGATTGTCATGTGCATGTGTGCTGTTCTCCTGCTGCTGGGATCTGGAGCAGTGGCAGCAAATGTTACTCAGCAAAAAAGAAAGACGGGGATGAAACCCAATAATTTGATGAACTGCTTCAGATTCCTTTTCCTAGCCAGAGTGTGTTGTAAAATCTCTTTTTATCACCTGAATTATGGGGGTCATTGACCAGAAAGTTTTTAACAGTGTTTCAGTAAAACGTGTTTTGTTCCATAGCTCTTCAACAAATCAGTTTGAGTTGTAACTAAAATTTGATGTGTTGACCCAGGGTAGATGGTTGGTTTGATACTGTGTGTAGTATTGATCTCACTGGGAAACATCTGTGATGAGCATGGCTTAGGTATTCCATTGATGTCAGTACAACAATAACAAAAAATTATAGACAAGCAAGTGTTGTTAATTCCTTGCTGAGTGATCTGATGAACTTTGTTCAAAGTGAAAATTAAGCTAGTGCTTAGAGCACCAACTCCTTCAGCAAGGTGTACCTCAGAAGTTAAGTTACATTCAGCTGTGGATTATTAATCATACTTTCAAAAGCGAGCCAAATTGTGAAATTGGACTTCGATAGCACTGTTGAAACAAAAGAAGCCCATGAAATTAGTAAATGTTGCGGTGTTTATTAACTGGTTTTCTGCTTCATGATTCTCTTCCTCATATTTCACACAGAAATTGGGTCACAAGACAAGAGTAGCATGAGTATTTTGTTCTAGCAGATAATTATGTGTTAAGTGGAATATTTCAAGTTGTTCATTTGGATATGTGTCCTGTTTCCTCCTGTAAATGGCTGCTTGCATTTGATGATCCCTCTGAGTGCCTGTTATACCCTTAAGGTATTTTAAATACCTTCATGTTGCTTCCATAGCAACAAAATACAAGGATAAAGAGGTAATGCTGTATTGCACAGTGAACACTTTCAGTTCATGTCCCTGTGACAGATTCCCAGAGCAAGTAATTGTAGGCGAAATAAATGTGAAGTTCCAACATTATTATATTTATGAAGAGGAGAGATTGAAAATTATTTATGCAGACTTATTTTAACCTGATCTGTGGTATGTTTTCACTCTTTTATCTGTTGGTAACTGTTAAGACTGGCAAGTCTGAGTAGTGTGGTATTTTTTGTAGGGAAGTTCAGCCTAATGAAATTTGGAATGGATAAAAGCAGAAATGAAATAAAGTATATATTCTCTGGCCACTACTGTGACCGGTATGGTGCTTCCAAGGGAAGGGGAGGAACTGCCTGTTGTAACATTGTATTAGTGATCAAAGCAGAAAAAAGGAGGTGCTATGCAAAGCTGTGTGGTTAAAAACTGTTGCTAAGATGCATTCGTTTAAATCCCAACTCCTTTGCCTTTTTGCTGCTAGGAGAAACACTTTTTTTTTTTTTTTTAACAGTTTATCTCAGACCCAAGTGTTATATGCGTGGTTAATTTGGCTCCTTGCTTCACAACTCTACTGCAAGTTTTCAGCATATGTCTTTTGGTTTTTAATGCTATAAAAAGTTAGGTAAATTCCTGCATGCTTGTAATGTACTTGTCCCAGCCAGCTGTGGAAAAAGCTGCTGTTTTGGGTACATGATAAACCACTGAGGCAGTGGGCCAGAAAACCTGAAGGTGAGTTAGTATGTCTGTCCTGGAGTAGCTCTTTAAGGCTTCAGATATGTTTAAAAATAACTAGTTAATTCATACATATGGGATATAAAGATTGTCCAACCCCACCTGCAAGCCAGCCATCCCTGTGATAATAATCTTGCTTTTTAAAAGAACATTTTTAGGCCTTGCCTGCATGATGTTGCTACAGGTCACTGTTTGTCCCCGTTCTTCCTCCCTTCTTACTTCCCACATTAGTTTTAGTTGCATTCCATAGCCTAGTTTCTCTTCTCATAATTGTTTACTACAATACATAGTAGTAATTTGTCATGAGCAATTCCTATTCTGTAGTACTTGGAGAAGGGAACCTGCTCTAAGGAATTCTGCAGTGAAATCCAACAGCTAGATGAGCTCAGGGGTTGATGGGCAATGACGCTTAACAAGTGGTGAACAATTTGTAGCCTTTCTGGGCAGCATCGAGACTGATTTGTGTCAGGTAAGGCACATGGACCTGTAAATGTGCTCCGTTTTCTTCTTGCTCCAGAAGTCCTCCCTCCTTCTCTCTGCGAGAGGTAGAATTTCCCAGTCAAAGAGAGAAAAAAGCCAAGTGCTGCACTTCTGGGATGGTATCTGAAAACTGGACTTCATCTCAGTGTTACAAAAACTGTATTGAATGTCTAGGAAGTGGGTGATTGTCTAAAGAGGTACTTAACCTTTTAAATTATGGAGCTTGGATACTCCTGGTGGGAAGACAAAGATGACAAATGCTATGCTCTCCCTCCCCAGTTAAGAATTAATTTAATAGACATTGAAGGTGCAGGAACTGTACCTATTCATGGGAAAATGCTGCATGCAAGAAGGCCCGTTATGTTTCTTCGTGAACTGATTGAAGATCACAGTCTTCCAACAAATGGGGGGGAAAAATATCAAACCCTCAAATTTTTACTTTTAGTCTTAGAAAAAAAATGAAGTCTCTCCAGAATACAGATTTAATGGATTTTTCATAGTACTCTCTCCACATCCCTTTTGTTTTAGTTATTTTTTTAATTAAAAAAAAAAAAAGAAAAGCATCATTATAGCAAGTTGGTTTTTGTTTTTCTGCTGTGGGTACAAAGACCAAGAACACTTGCCAGAGGAGCAGGCTGATGAAGCTGCCAGATGAACTTTAACTGAACTTAAAGCAGACCCAGATCTCTTAAAAGCTAAGAAGTAGTTCAGTATGTTAGGGATTGCAGCAGACATAGGAAATATCCTTGTCAGAAGCCCAAGTAGAAAATCT